CCCACCCCACCCCCCGGAAAAAAGAAGGAACGGATGAAAACAGAAAATAAAGAATTGAAAAAGAGCAGAGTAGGAGTCCGGCTCCTTATTGAGAACATGGAATCAGAAGTTGGTAGTTCAAACTTCAATGTTGCTACTTTAATTTTATATGATATCTGCTCTTCCATTTCTGATGTGCCACTATCTCATATCTCTTTGTTTTTTTAATGTTGCTTAATCAACTTGTATACTATTCTTCTTTGTGTTTTGACACTGAGGATGCCCTAAAACCTAAAATGCTACTTTGCTTTGTGTCATAGACCTGAGATGGTTGTTGGTTGGTATCATTCACATCCTGGATTTGGCTGCTGGCTTTCTGGTGTTGACATCAATACTCAGCAGGTTATCCTTGTCCTTTTCCATTTTGATTGTTAGCTAGTTCCTATTGATTTAGAAATGTTCTATGTGAATCATGAGCCGCTGAGTAAGAATTGTTGACCATTCTGTGTGAGTTCTTTAATAGTAGATCACATCACCCTGAGTTAAATGATCTTCTTTGATTAATATGAAATTGAGAAAAACATGCTCTGTAATATGGACTGAATGCCCTGTAATATGAAACTTGACAAAGGCGGTGAATGTGGCATAGGAAAACCATGCAATATAAAAAAATGGAATGAGAAAAGCAAGACTGAATGTTCTATAATATGAAATTTGCACCCAAGGGTGTGGCCTAGTAGTCAATGAAGTGGGTGAGAACCATGAGGTCTCAGGTTCAAATCCCAGCGGAGGCAAATACTAGGTGATTTCTTCCCATCTATCCAAGCCTTGGTAGATAGAGTTACCTGGTACGTGTTGCTGGTGGGAGGTGACAGGTATCCCGTGGAATTAGTCGAGGTGCGCGTAAGCTGGCCCGGACACCACGGTTATCAAAAAAAATAAAATAATAAATATGAAATTTGACTAGGCGGTGAAATTTGGCATAGTAATACGTTGCAAAGTAGTGCGATTTGTTATCCCATTTTTTTGAATTGGTGGAGATCAAGAATGTTTCTTTAAGGAGAGGAGTTATGTTACTGGAGTCTGTGTAAAAGTATTGGGAAGTGTTTTTGTGAGGATTATATGCACTTTCATCCTTTGAAGGCGGTGCTAAATTGGAACAGTTTTTTTATTTTGGAATGCACCCTTCCTTTGAGTTAGGCACTTAGTGGTTGTTTCATTCAGTGACCAAATAAGTTGTGTCTTAAGATCTCAATCCCATCCAGGTATAGAGACGGGGTAATGTCAAGTACTTTGTTTGGTAAGAAAGCAGATGAGAGAGGGAGGGACGGAGGGAAGGGTTGATATACTTCTTAAGGTGAATGTTATAACTTGCTGTTTTTTTTATAGAAAGAGCTGGTGTAGGAACTCACTTCTACCGTATTACAAAGAAGTTGGAAAAATCTCACATCCCTAGAAAACCTCTTTTTGCGGTGGTTGTCTTTTGCATTCTAGAGCTGTAATTTGTTGGCATCTCCATGACAGTTCTGCTATGATAGAAATAGGAAGGCGGGTTATCAAGATATGTTGAACACTCTTTTATGATAAAACAAATCCTCCAGACAGACCATTATGGCTCTCTGTATTGACTAGCATGGGAGAATCATAGAAATGGACTGAAACAAAATTCTGTTTGCAAGGATTAGAAAGGTAAGTACATAAAAACTTAATTTAATATGACGGGGAAGAGAGAGTTCTCCCATCTCCCCCTCCCTCCAAATAACAAATAAACGGGTTAGTGAGAAACAAAGTCAGGAAAAAAAGAAACAGAATAAATAGTTTATCCAACTTTGCGCTCTTGAGTGTTCAATTGCATTTTGGTAAAGCAGATGAGCACATGAACCTATCAACTTGACTTGATTCCTATCAGGATGTCGATTTGGTGTGTTTTCGACATGATCTTCATGTGGAGTACTCCAATAGCTAATGAATGATCTATTGNTCCAGTCTCTGTGTATGTGCGACCCATTACTTCCTGATTCGGTCGTGCTGGTGGTGATACTTCTAAATGGAATATCTTCTGCATGATTTTCACGAGTTTTTTAGTAAAATATAGTTCCACTAGTCTTAAAAAGTCCCACACACATTCACATATCCAGTCTCCGTGTATGTGCGACCCATTACTTCCTGATTCGGTCGTGCTGGTGGTGATACTTCTAAATGGAATATCTTCTGCACGATTTTCACGAGTATTTTAGTAAAATATAGTTCCACTAGTCTTAAAAAGTCTAGTTGATTCATATTTTCCAATTAAAACTTGTTGTCCGAGAACCACTCTTCAACTATTTTTTTTAAAAAATATTTTCCTTCCACTACATATGTGATGCTCAATTAAAAGTAGCTTCTTAGTTAAGACCATCAAACTGTGTTGCATAAAGCCGTAAACTCGTTGATGGAGTTTTTTCAGTTTCAATTTTTTGGGTTCTTATAGATGCATTTTGCAGGCATTGATCCATGGTTTGAACAGACACTACTACTCAATAGCCATAAACTACAGAAAGAATGAACTTGAAGAGAAGATGCTACTGAATCTTCACAAGAAGAAATGGACAGATGGACTCACACTCCAGCGTTTTGATGCTCATTCCAAAACCAATGAGCAAACAGTTCAGGTAATCTTTGGGTTTGCGTGGTATTTAAATACAACACCATTGTTATGTCATGTGCCAACCTTTGACGGTTAGAAGCGCAGAATATGATTGCTGATATTTTTTCATCTCTGCCTCTCCACGGTAGAGAGAGTGAAACTAGGAAATATTGTCCTTATCATGCTGGGTGACTCTCTTCAAATATTCTCATGTGCAGGAGATGTTAAACCTTGCTGTCAAGTATAATAAAGCAGTGCAGGAGGAGGATGAGTTGCCTCCAGAAAAGCTAGCCATTGCAAATGTAGGAAGGCAAGATGCCAAGAAGCATCTTGAAGAGCACGTCTCGAATTTGATGTCTTCAAACATTGTCCAGACATTGGGAACCATGCTTGACACAGTTGTCTTCTGATCTTCGTTTCTCGAAAGTCTGCAAAAATTGTGTTTGAAGTCGTGAAAGAGGAACATGTTTTTTGCAATTTTGTTTTTTTTTTGAATGTGACCAGTACCTTCATTATAACTCTGTGATAGCAGCTGTTATTCGATATGTTTATGTCATCTTAAGATGACTTCTGACTTGTAGTGGTTATCTTACGCTGTTCAAAACCGAACCGAAACCGAAAACTAAACTGCAAAAGTGGCTTAATGGCTTATTGGTTGGTAACGGGTAATCGGTTTAACGGATGGGGAACGGATTGAAATTTTATTATTGACGGTTTATCGCTTTGGGGGCGGATTATTCAATTTTCTTATCAGATAAACCAACGGTTAAGAATATATATATATATATATATATATATATATATTAAATAATAAAAATCTCTCACTTCCACTTATCCAGTACTGGATCAGTGTTACTCTATTAGAATTTAGAAACCTTAACATCTAAATATTAAATAATAAAAATCTCTTCCACACTTCCACTTATCCAGTACTGGATCAGTGTTACTCTATTAGAATTTAGAAACCCTAACATCTAAAATTCCTAATTTCCCTCGGATCTCATAAGCAACAACCCAGATCTCATTTCTTTGAAGCCGTAAAAATTGAAGCATTGTTAGGCGTTAGCTACAACAATTGTATTTTGGAAGTCTCCAATTCTTCTCTAAATTTTCATTTTATCTCTAGTTGTATTCTGGACTCATTTTGACATATGTAATTACCATGTTAGGAAGTGTTAACTGTTATGTTAGCTGAAGCACTGTTGGCTTTTTGCTGGTATTTACTAATTACTAGTAACCGTGTAACATGAAGGACCAAAATAGTCCTCTGTAATACAGATTGAACTAGGCCGATAAATCACTCGATAATAGCTAAACAGATACCAATCCGCCTGATATCTTATCGGGTGGCTAGCGGATTAATACATTTAAAAGCCGATAACCGACAAGCTGAACCGTTAAGAATAAATAACCGCCCGAGAAGCAGCCCGAATCCTACATGATATCATTGGAACTTACGAGATGCCATTATTCACTTTATTAGTGCCACATTTTGTCACGACCCAAAATTTTACCAGAAGCGTCGTGATAACACTTAGTCTCTAAGACTAAGTAAGCCCATTATAATCACAATTCAAGCAATTTATAGTCACAATTCAAGCCATTTATTTCAAACATATAATTTGATACAACCTCCCAAGACTGTAATACTGAGTCACGAACTCTAACTAAATACATGGAATTATCTCGAGGGCCGAATATACAATACTGTTCGAATAAGAATTTAACAGTACAATAAAATGGAAAGACTCTAAGGGACTGCGACGGCCAAGCAATCCTACCTTAAATCCTTGCGATCTTACTTAAACCTCCATCCGGATCCGATATTTTCAATACCTGGCTCTGCACAAAAATGTGCAGAAGTGTATGAGTACCACCACTGTCGGTACTCAGTAAGTATCAAGACTAACCTCGGTGGAGTAGTGACGAGGTACAACCAAGACACTCACTAGTCAAATAACATGTGCAATATAGCATACAAAAATCATAGAAAACAAATAGCAGTGATGGCAACAATAATCAACTTGTGACATAAACATCAAGGCAACATGAACACCATAAATATTTCTCAAACGAATAATAAACACATGTACAACNTAGGTGGGAGAAATGCCAATAACAATAAAAGAAATAAAGTGGGAGGCACACAGGAAGCAACAACTACTACAAGTCACATAGAAAACATAGGTGCACAATAACATCTCAAGATAAAAGTATGTGTATACACTACGAAAAGATATCACAATTTAATGTATGTCTCTTGTCCTCACTTTCACGGAAATACTATTCGTTCCATGAATATATGATAATAAAAAAATAATTGCACGACACAACCATTCGTGCTTTTACTCTCATCCTCACGTGATAATATAATTGAAATGACACGGCATCACCCTCCGTGCTTTACACTCTTAATTGGCACGACATAACCCTTTGTGCTTTACACTCTCAAATTGCACAGCATCACCCTTCGTGCTTTACACTCTCAAATGGCACGGCATCACCCTTCGCGCTTTACACTCTCGCTCACTTGATAATATATATGAAATGACACGGCATCACCCTTCGTGCTTTACACTCTTCCTTACCAAGAACATGTATATCATAAGCAAGCAAGGTGGGAAGCATAAATAACATCAGGGAGATTGCTTAACTGACAACACAATACAACAATTCATATAAGAATTTGCCCACCGGCCACAACCAACTCCAAAGATACAACAAAAATTAATTAATTTCAAAGCTAATAGCCCAAGACTCCACACAACGTATATAAAACCTCAAAACAACAACAAATATGAAAAAGTAACTCAACATAGGACATCACCTTCTTTAATCCAAATTTTTGACAGATATATTAACGCCTCTTTTTAAGTTTATTTAATTTATTGCAGATGGAAAATCAATAATGTGATTATTTCCAAGAAATATCAAATCAACAAATACACAGAATTCACATAAAAATTTAAATGGCAATCACACCAAATTATCATATAACATACAAACTCGACAAACAAGGAATGAGGCATGACAAGTCAAGGATTTACTAAGTTCCAATAATTTTTCCAATTTAATACATAAGGGTGTCTACAAATTTCAACCGATATAATTTACACATATAAACCAAGTACGTACTCGTCATCTCACGTACATGATTTTCAATTATACAATTTTCACATAAGACTCAATGCCTAAGGGAAAATTCCCCCCCCCACAAGGTTAGGCAAGGTACTTACCTTTTTGAAGTTAGGCCGATATTTTAAAATAGCCTTCTTTCTTGAATTGACCTCTGGACAACTCAAATCTATCCAAATTAATTGTATAACTTCATTAAAATTCATCAAAAATAATTCTGGATAATAAAATATCAACTTAAAATTGTGCATTAAAAAGTCAACCAAAGTCAACGTGGGGCCGCCCCTCGGAACCCGACAAAATTTTTACGAAATCCGAACACCCATTCCGATATGAGTTCAACCATACCAATTTTATCGAATTCCAATAACAAATCGTCTTCCAAATCTTGAATTTTCGTTTTTGAAAAGTTTAACAAAAATCCCAATTTCCTCCATTAAAACTCGAATTAAACGATGAATATAACCATAGATGCATGAAATATTATCACTCTCGGATGTAGAACATTTACCCCAGTCGAAGTCGTGAAAAAATCCTTAAAATCGCCTAAGAACCGAGCTCCAAATATTCCAATCAAAATGAAGAAATGACTAATTTTCGACCCCTTATGTTTATGTCCATTTACGCTTTTGCGGGCACATATGCCGCATCTGTGGTCAGGCTTTTGCGAGATAAAGCACACATCTACGATCCTCATTGCCCAGCCCAAGATCGCACTTGCGGACAGAATGCCGCATCTGCGATGCCTTCCGCTTCTGCGCCTTCTCTGCCCGCTTTTGCGATAACGCACGCGACTTCTACCCGGTACACTCCTAACCGCTTATGCGAAAATCTTCATGCTTCTGCGATGTCGCTTCTGCGACCAAGGCATCGCATAAGCGATTCCACCCGAGGCCCTAGAGACCTCAACCAAATATACCAACACGTCTCAAAATATAATACGAACTTAGTTGAGGCTTCAAATCACGTCAAACAATGCCGAAATTACGAATGGCGCATCAAATCGAATTATGAGTTTTCAAAACTTCCAACTTCTATATTTTGTGTTGAAACGTATAAAATCAATCCGAAATGACTTCAAATTTTTGATACAAGTCATAAATGATGTAATGGAGTTGTTCCAATTTCCGAAATCGAAATCCAACCTCGTTATCAAAAATTCAACCTTCGATCGGACTTTCCAAAAATCTTCTATTTTCCAACTTTCGCCAAAATGCATCGAATTGTCCTACGGACTTCCAAATCCAAATCCGTACATATGCCTAAGTACAAAATCACCATACGAATCTATTGACATCATCAAAATTCCATTCCGGGGTCGTTTGCTCAAAAGTCAACTCTCTGGTCAACTCTTTTCATTTAAGCTTCAAAAATGAGAATTTCTCTTTCAATTTAATTCCGAACCTTCCAAAAACCAACCTCGACCGCACACGTGAGTCATAATACATATTACGAAGTTACTCGGGACCTTAAGTCGCTGAACGGGGCATTAATTCTTAAAATGACAAGTCGTGTCATTACATTCTCCACCTCTTAAACATACGTCTGTCCTCGAACGTGCCAAGAATCTTTCTGAGGACATCAAAATTACTGAGTGTATTCTTACACACATACTCACGGGTGATTATACGTTCTGCAATTTAACATGGGACTGAAAACACCATCTCAGTTAAGATTATTTCTTTTATCCATACTTATAAACTTTAAAACCAAATTCTTACGCTCCAAACATTTTCAAAAGGCCTGATTTTTTACATTAACACACGATATTAGTCTCAACCGGCTATAGCAATTCGTGCCTACGCACACATCATATGTATGCCCATAACCACATTTCTAGTCATAATAGTTGTTCATAATTAATTCCAGCATCCCCCAATTAATTCCACATTAACCAAATTCCGCTTCAAATTTTTACAACACTGCCAGCAACACGCGAGGCATGAAGACCTCATAATTATTTACCCGAATTAACGAGTCACATTTAACGCCGCATGGGCACTCACCTCATAGGCTAAAACTCAATATTTACCTCACAATTATGGATAAATATGCACAGAAACACATAAAAGAATTATCAAATAAGCCTAACACGCATGACTCCCTATCAGTACTATAGTACAAATTAAATTTCAAAAAGAGAGAATTTAAACCACATGAATTTAATCACAAGGATCTTATCATGATATAACTTCCATTGTGGCACGTAGCCCGAGTTAAACATATCAAATCACATTAAACTGCGAGGATCTCATCCTCAACTCTGAATCACAAGTACTTTGCACGTTGTGCCAACTGAAATTTTCCATTTCTTTTCTTTCTTTCTTTTATTCTTTTTATAAAATCCGCGAAACAATTTCACAACACATAACGAACCCCCATACCGATAGGGCATATAATTCATAAAATTGAAATCAATTATCCCGAAATTACATAAAAACCCCA